CCTGTTGATGACATCAGCGACGCGGTTTAGTCGGGCGCGGTTTTGTGGTGGAACCGCATTAAACATCATTCCAGGCTGATTTGCATGAACTCTTTGGAATAGAAATATGGACAAATATTAATGACTCTGTCTGGTACCTCTGTTACATTTAAGCAATATGCTATAAAATCATACTTAGTCAGAAATAAGTCCTACAGTATTTAGCAGAGCTTGCCTCTAAGTGAAGCTGGGCTCACTTTATTAAGCCTTTATTTAAGCAATTGTTGGAAGAAATATCCATCTGGTTCAGTTCCAAGTGGGGAGAAAGGCACTGGAAACATGGAGGCTGATTGGCAAGATGGTTTAATGGTGACGCAGAACTACCAAGCATATGTGATTCTGGGTAGCTGAACACATGGAATGGAAAATGAGAGTTATTTATACCCTCTCTGGGCTTTGAACTTGAGCTTCCTGTTCCTGTGGCAAGAGCATGTATTCTATTGGTTGCTGTCAGACTCCCATGGGACTATGCATGGGTCATAGCTGAAGTTTATTTATTTATTTGTCAACAAGTACAAGAAAACAAGTATCAGTATAGATATAGATATGGACACATGAAAAAATGGTACAAAAATGGATGTAAATAAGCAAAACATAGCCATAACTATATAAAACATACAAAAACATACAATAGCAGAGTTGGAAGGGACCTTGGAGGTCTTCTAGTCCAACCCTCTGCCTAGGCAGGAAACCCTACACCGTTTCAGACAAATGGCTATCCAACATCGTAAAAACTTCCAGTGTTGGAGCATTCACAACTTCTGGAGGCAAGTTGCTACACTGATTAATTGTTCTAACTGTCAGGAAATTTCTCCTCAGTTCTAAGTTGCTTCTCTCCTTGATTAGTTTACACCTATTGCTTCTTGTTGTACCCTCAGGTTCCTTGGAGAATAGAATAAAATGAGTACATATAAATGGGGACAGTAGGATAGGGACGGTAGGCATGCTGGTGTGCTTATGCACGCCCCCTTAGGGACCTCTTAAGAAACACATAAGATCCATGGTAGACAGTTTAAGGTAAAAGGTATGGGGGTTAGAGGAACTAGCAACAGTGTTCCACACATTTACTACTCTATTGCTGAAATTCGTTTTTTCTGCAATCAAGATTAGAGCAGATTACATTTAGTTTGTATCAATTGATAGCCCTTGTGTTATTGCAGTTGAAGTAAAAGTAGTCATTAATAGGTAGGATGTTATGGCAGATAATCTTGTATACTAAGCTTAGGTCAGCGTAGTTCAAGGTTATCCAGGCCTAAAATTTCAAGCCTGGTGGTATAAGGAATTTTATTATGAGCAGAGGAGTAGAGTACTCTTCTTGTAAAATACCTCGGTACCCTCTCTAATGTTTTAATGTCCGAAATGCAGAGTGATGAGGTATTGAAGAGGCTTGTGTTCTGTGGACAATTCATATTGTGTCTTAATGGCTTTTTCCTGCTTTGGATCTTGAGTGAAGGTTAATCCTACCATTCTATGTTTGTTCAAAGTAGCCTGTCTTGAATGGATTACCAAATCTGTATTTCTAAAACCTGGCCTCAGCTTTGTATCTGCTTGGGAGCAGGGAACTGTGGCTCTGAGCTTCTGTCTCCTTTTAAGGGTTTAATTTCTCTTTTAGAGGAAATATAACATTCTGCCAAAATTTCTCAAAATATTTCATTTTTCTAGGAGAGAGGGGGTTGCCACAAGCACTGGGTCTAACTGTGCTAAGTGAGAAGCCATTATTTGCAAACTCCAACACTACAGTGCCAAAACCAAATTAAGGATATCATGACAATGTGCAATATGAGAACCCAACCAGTATGTTATAAGATTCTAACCTTACTTTTACTTTATTCATGTTCTTTCAAGCATCATTGGGATTTTAGTATCTGATAAATGGCTAGGATTTCTTAGGATATTTGTATTGTTTTTTTGTCATAGATATGGAGATATGGAGAAAGTAAGTATGCATAGTGAATGAAATTTATTACTTATTTTCAATGTTAATAAATTTGCCTCTTATGCAAATGGATGCTTGCCAGTTCATAAATTTGACTTCGATGGCTGCAAAGGAGGAAAGAAGGGGAAAAAAAGAACTGGCAGTTCAAATGCCTGAAGCCGGAATATCAAGTTCTTTTATTTTATCAAATCCTCCACACTTGGACCTCTATTTTGCACACTTGGACCTCTACCTCTTAATAGACCTCTTCTTTTTTTAAAAAAATATTTTTATTTTATTTTCAAAGTTAAAATACCAACTCCAAAAGGAACAACACTAAATAAAACAAAAATGTGCATAAAAACAAGAGACATACATAGATGCCCTCCCAGCTGAATACTGATGTATATTTCAACAATGGTTTCTCTAAACTGCCCCCCTCCCCCACAAAACAGGTCTACAATTTATATACTTCTAAAGTTCTATTTTCCCAACCATTTTGACCTACCATCTATCTATCTATATATATAAAAATGGCTCCCTCCCTCCCTGTGTGTTTGTGTGTTGTGTGTGTGTTTTACAGCATAACTCTGGATCGCCTCGAGCAATTTCAACCACTTGGTACACAGATGACTTACTTTCTGGAAACAAATACTGTAGCAGTAGGACACCCCTAACACTTCTTGAGGTGTGTGTTGTTATACGAGACAGCCTGTTGTGCCTTCAAATGGCTTCTACTGTACAGCGCAGTGGAGNTCACATACACTAGGTAAAGGTTCCCCTCGCACATATATGCTAGTCGTTCCCGACTCTAGGGGGCAGTGGTCCTCTCCATTTCAAAGCCAAAGAGCCAGCACTGTCTGAAGACGTCTCCATGGTCATGTGGCCGGCATGACTAAATGCCGAAGGCACATGGAACACTGTTACCTTCCCACCAAAAGTGATCCCTATTTCTCTATTTGCATTTTTACATGCTTTCAAACTACTAGGTTGGCAGAAGCTGGGACAAGTAGTGGGAGCTCACTCTGTTACGCAGCGCTAGGGATTCGAACCACAGAACTGCCAAACTTTTTGATCGATAAGTTCAGCATCTTAGCCATTGAGCCACTGTGTCCCATCACATACACTACTAAGCCATAATCCATCAACTATAATGGCTGGTGTCACACATCACTCTAAAATCAAAGCAAATAAAACAGATTATGGTTTGTTACAAATGCCCATATTATGTCCAACAAAAGGGTCTCCTTTTCCATCCCTCCAGTCACTTCATGTGCAGAATGGAGGAGGGATCGCCTTTTATCCTATTTTCCATCTCTATTCTGCTGTCATTAGATACATAAAAGGGTTAAAGCTAGAATAACTGAAGGTCAGTTCTTTTGGGACCATCCAGTGATTACCCAAAGTATTGTTTACAGCAGTTCAGGAAAGATCTGTGCTTTTGAGATATAGATGTAAGAATAATGTAAATTATATTCCTGTTTTTTCCTGCCTTTCTATTACTAATGGAATTTACTGTCAATCCTATAAAATGATCTTGTGTATATTGACTAAAGCTGGGAACTGGAAATGGGCAGAAAAAACTATTTCCCACTATTGCCTTAACAAAGGAAGCATCTAGCAATTCTTTTGTCACAGGGAAATTCTTCCTGACTAATTGCTCTGTCAATATCATACAATCCCTTTGCATATAGGGAAATGCAGCCTGCATCCTACAGGAAGGTTCCGCAAATGGAAAGGATGAGTTTTACATCCCAGGCTACTGTTTGTCCCTGAATTCCACTGTTCCTGGGACTGTAATGCTCCTGTGAGGCTGCTTTAGGGCAAGGTTACAAACCTGTTCAGCATTTATAACCTACATTCCACCTGCAGAGTGAATGCGAATTACAGATGCACCATTATTTAAGCCACTTTGGCAGCAATCCAAAATGATTATTATGTAGCCTAACCTTCTCATACAGAATTAGGAAAGGTACTTTTTAAGAGTAGGAAACACCCCCCCCCCCTTTATACAGGGAGTTCACAACTTATGACCATTTGCTTAATGATTCAAAGACACAATGGCATTGAAAAACTTACCATGGGTTCATGCATTTATGACTGTTTTGGCATTTCTATGGCCAGGTGACCGTGATCTCAGTGTTTGGCAACTGGCAAATGTTTACAACGGTGGCAGTGTCTCAGAATTATGTGATCACTATTTATGACCTTCCCGAGGACTTTCCGACAAGCAAAATCAATGGAGGAAGCCAGAGTCGATTAACAATAAGGTGATTCCCTTATGGCAAAAATTCAGGCAAGACGCAATGACAGTGTCATTTATCAATGAATATTCTGGTTCCGACTGTAGTTGTAAATTGAGGACTACCTGTATATCTGTATCTGTATCTGTACATACACCCACACCTGCACACAGTTATTTTAAATGCATAGCGGCTAGAGTTGGACTTGCCTTGTTCTGCAAATAACAAATTAGTGTTTTCTTCATGTCATAGTGTTGTCTTCAGGGACATAAGCCTGGAAAAATCAATATGCTCCCTTCACTTGTTTAAGATCCAAACATGAACATAATGAAGCAAAACCTTTTTTCCCTCTTTCCTAGACAAACCTTCCCCTGCTTACTTCCTATTATTTCACTTCACGTGTAGCCTGTCCCATAAAGTCTGTACTTTTAGCAAAACGCATTTTCCACACTGAGAATAGGGTACTTCGCACCTGTCTAAAATATGACTTTAAAGCATTGTATACTCGTAAACAAAGCTAATGTGGCCTTTAATTAAAATCTTCCCTTCGGTGTAATGAGATAAATTAAGCACCTTTCTCGGTATTTCTACCTTATTACTCTTTCTGAAGCAATAATATATAAAAAAAGTATTTGTTGACTTAAGAATCTTCCAGGTAGAACATCCTCCTCCTGATCATTGTTTCCAAGTATATGGATTACTTCTGCCCATCGTTGCCCATTGCTTTGAGATGGTTTGGGCTAAATATTAAGAAAAGCAGCGTGGATTTTTCCTTTTTCCTCCCTCCCCTGCCCAATTTTTACCTTGCAATTTCAGGTTGTATTCACTCCTATCTGACTGGCTCCTCCTCAAAGGTGCAGAGCTGCTGTTGAGGTCTCCTGCAACGCTGCTCTCCACCACCGTGTCCGTCTTCCTCCTCTCCAGCATGTACAATCTCTGCTTCAGGAAAGTAAGGTTCTTTTTCCTGACCCCGGCACTTTCTTTTCCAGTAGGATCTCTGGTTTCCATTTCCAAGCAGGTGTTCCTTTTCCCGGTGTTTGGGAAAACAATAATAATACAAGGAGCTTAGCAGGGAGGTGTGCCTGTGCTTGTTGCGTGGGCAACAGGATCAGCTTCCTTCAAGGAACAGCTGACGTGCTGAAGAGACCCGCATAAGTTCACTTCTTACCTGGCTCACCTGAGTGCCACCTTTACAGTGTAACCGGGCTCCACCCCTATGAAGTCATCTTTTAGTACACTGACTGGGGAACTAGACACCTGTTACCTGAGAGGTTTGCGGCAGCAGGTATAACATAGCAGCAGGGACCAAATCTCCCTTATTAACTCCTTTTTAGAAGTTGCTGTTCATGTATTTGCGTTCCTCCTTTTCATTTACTTTCCTCGGGGGGTGGGTGGGTTTACAAGTTGCAGAATATCTGCTTGGGTTTTTTTTTTTTAATTCATGCAAAAAACAGGCCAGGCATGCTTTGAAGGCTGCTGGCCAGAAAGTCCACCTAAGGCCCTATTTATTTTCCCCTGGAGGTAAAATGTATGGAGGTCTCTGAAGCTATTTCTGCAGGAAGGGTCACTGTCATGTAGATCAAACTGAGAGCTCCTCCATTGTCCTACTTAAAGGACTTTATTAAAAGAAAGAAGTTAATTCCTTGAGGATCAAGGGATTTTGCTGTCAGGATTGAGCAATAAATCTCCCCCCCCCACTTCAAATATGTAAAACATTTAAAAAAATGAAATTGCCAATCGGGAGGCAGATCTTGCTTCCTCTCCCTCTTCCTGTCCTTCCTCCCCCCTCTCTCATCAAGAAATCAAAACACATGAAACCCCTCCCCCCAAATTTTGTGGCGCTACCAAAGTTACCTCAAAGGAGGGCAGTGCTGAAAACCCAGGTGTGGGTTTAAAGACCTGGAAGCCAGTTTTTCTCCAGAGAAAGAAGTATGAATGATGGGAAGCCTTCGCCCATCTGATCCTCACAAAACCCCACTCACCCCCTTGATCTTTGTAGGACAGGGTTGTTCAAATTCAATGAAATTGAGTTTTAAAGGGCCGTATCAGGATTGGGTTTCACCTTGGGGACTGGGGTGGGCATGGCCAGCTCAATGTCCCTCATGTTAGGTGGGGGGGGGCATCTGTGGTGGCCTGAGAACTCTGCCAGTAAAAACAGGTTCCTGAGCTCCATTTTTGACGGTGACAGCCTCCTGCATCCCTCTGCCAGTGAAAATGGAAATTTTCTCTTGCAGAGGCACTTTGCTGCTTCCAGGGCAGCCCCGCAGGCCAGATCTAAGCACACCGTAGGCCAGATCCAGTCCCTGGGTCTTGAGTTTGACACCCCCCCCCCATTGTAGGGGGACTAGATTTTGAATCCGTATCATCATTATTTTAATCTGATCCAACATGCCTGACTGTTCTGCAGATCTATTAGCAAAAAGTGAATCAATAACATGGTGTGATCAGGAAAAGCAGCATGGAAGATTAACTTAATGAGCTAATTGAGATGATGATGATGATGATGATAATGATGACGACGACTACTACTACTATTATTATTTCATCTTTCCCTCTCTGGTGGGGACAGCAGTATAAAAAAAGTAACTTCAGTCCAAGAAAAAAAGCCTTTGAAATGCTGATTTTGATCGCTTGAAGCTTGCATAAATGAGGGAGCACTTTTCTCATTAAGAAGCAGAGGACAACATCCTGTGTTGTTCTCAAATAGCGAAACATATTTTTTTCTGTAGTCATGATTCATCCTTTCTATTACTACTTTCAGAAAACGTGTCAGAATCCTTTTAAATTCAGTTTTAAAATCCAGCTTTTCAAATTTGTAGCATTTAGTTGTTTTTTTAAAGAGACAAAGTGGATTCTAATTTCTTACGTGAAAGAGTCAATTTGGTAGAGTGGTTTAGGAACCAGGTTGGAAATGGCAGACTAGTCCTGCCTTAGGTGCAAATGGCCAGTCACTCCCTTTCAGTCCTAGGAAAATGGCAATGGCAAACCACTTCTGAAAAACCCTGCCAAGAAAACTTCAGACTAGTCCAGGGAGTTGCTAGGAGTCAAAAATTGACTTGAAGACAACACACACACACACACACACAGAGAGAGAGAGACACACAAACACACACATTACATAATACTTCATTTTCAAAAAAGACAGAATACAAATTGTCTAAGTAAATGAACTATTAAAGTATTAGTTGGATTATTTTTCAGTTTTCCCCAATGTAATTTATACAGAATTGACACAACATAACTGCTCTTTTTTACCCTACCTTCTACTAAACCATGACTGATCTGATGAGGCAAGATTAACTTGGATCTAGTGACTAGAATGAAAGAGCACTAAGAAACCTCAGGACTGTAATCTAGACTGGGAAATTGAAAATTTCTGGGCCCGGAGGGAGGAGTCCCCCTCGTTGAAATGTGCCCAGCCGAATTTCAGGTGCTACACCAGCCGAGAGCCCAGGGAAGG